CGACAGCCCTTGTCTAATGTGGCCAACATCTTTATTGTGCCAGCTTCCATTGAGAAGGGAGGGAGTTCCAAAGAGGGCCAGACTTGTAAGTGGTGAAATCAACGAGTAAACTTCAGTTATCTCGTGTAACTTGGCTCTTAACCCCCTGATTGTGCACCAATGCATAAGCATTGACCAATAAGGTTCACATGTTCAGACCCTCTAAGCCCTGTCAATAAAGGATAACAAGAAGAAGACGAAGATGAAGACAAATACGGAGGAGAGGAAGACGAGGAGGAGGAAGAAGAAGAAGAAGAAGAAGAAGAAGAAGAAGAAGAAGAAGAAGAAGAAGAAGGCATTACCTTTTCCTTCACCCTGACCCGATCTGGCCTGCCTTTGTTCATTCACATCCGCCCCCACCCAGGCCTTTTTTTGTTCTTTTGTGAACGCAGCCCACCCTTAGCCTGTTTTGAAATTTTGCTCCAGCACCTGACCCCCCCGGCAACCCAAAAAAGAACCCACCCATTCCTTCCACGCTCATGACCAATTTTACCCACTGCAGCAGCCCTTCCCCATACCCGTCCATACCTGTGGTATCCCATGTCACACCCACCATAGTGTGCTGGCTGCTCCGCGGCGCCCTGATGAGGGCTACGCATGGTGGTTGACCACTAACAACCGGCAGAGTGTGGCCACACAGCACACACACAGCAGGAGTTTCCTCACTGCGATTACAGGCAGATTCATAGCCAAGGAACCAAAAGTCCACCTTCAGTGGCGAGTGAATCTTTCCGCTTGCTGTTGGTAGATCCACTCACACTTCTGGTAATTGGTGAGTAGCTCTTGGAGGCCTGTGCCATCCGAGTTTTCTTGCTCTCGTTCAGGTGCCGGAGGCCTCCGGATTGTTTTAGCCCTCAGTGGACGGAACATTGCACTAGGAAACAAATGCCTGTTTTTTCCCCCCTTTTTTTGAGGAGGGGGGCACTGGTCCGGGGGCTTGGGTGACTGAGGCTAATGCCTCACCCATCCCTCACCCAGCGAACCCAGTTAGCCGGACCCAGCTGAACCTATCTGTCTGCACAGGTCACACCCAAACCCTCCCCCTCACCTGGGGGTCTAGCTGGCTGCTGGCAGGTGTATCCACAGTCACCCATTCCCCACCTCTGAAGAAGAATTAGAAGAAGAAGAAGAAGAAGAAGAAGTGCAAGGAATATGAGCGAGAGCAACAGACAGAAAACCAAATTGCAATATCACATTAAGACCAGATAGTCGTGTACCAAGCATAAAGCAATGAGCACCGAGTTACAAGCCAAATAAGAGCAATGCAATGAACCCAAATGTCAATCACAGCCCCTTCTCGCCACCATCAAGAATGTATCCAGTGTCGCTCTTCTTCTCTGGCGCTCAGCGCCCAGCCTATCCTACTCAGCACCTACACTAGCCTACAGATACGACATGAACCAGGAATCACTTCCAGCCGAAGACCAATCTGCATGACGAAGTCGCCCATGCAGACTGCCGCATACGTCAGTTACGTGTCTCTTCTCTCTTCCCTCATCACCTCCTCTCCCACAGTCTGCATCCCCAGCACCCGCAGACCACCATTACCATCACCATCACCAGCAACAGCGCAAGCAGGCCTGGCTATGGCCACTTGCGCCCGCTGCTCAGCAGCACCCCTCTCTTCACCACTAGCACCCGTGTGTGCCCTGGCTCGCAGTGCTCTGGCGACTTCCAGCGCTCAAAGTGGCAGCACTGTCACTGTTGCATACCGTAATGGTACAGACCAGAACAAGAACCGACCTCTCTCTCGCAGTACAAGATAGCACAGCATAAGACTAAAATACCAAGGATCAGAACAATCAATGTCGAACTGCAGACCAAACATACATCATCATCATCGCATGGTGTGAAAGGGGCTGGCACTCACACAGGAAGAACGCGCCAGTCCCATACATACACAGACGAGGAGGAGGGGGATCAGACGAAGAAGAGGGGGAAGATGGGAATGTCGTCAACACCAAGTCTTCGGTACAAGTCCCAAATAAACCCTCGTCCAATGTCTCAATCCAAATGTCAAGTCTAAGTCCAAATGTCGTCAAGTCCCCAAAGTCATTAATCTCTGTCGCTCTCTCTCGTAGTCTGCAGGTACTGAGAAGTCAGGTGGCGAGAGGGCGAGGGAGAGATGGTGGACTTAGGAGGAAGAAGAAGAACTCTTTCTCTCTCTCTCATACCAAGTACTAACCTGTGAAGGTGGCGCCTTGTTACAGGTACATCGAAGACGAAGCTGGAGCTATGGCGCCACAGGTAAGTCTCCCTGGCCTCCGCCAACCATCCCTCTCTCTCCAATGCTACTGTTACATGCCCAGTTGGGCAATGTATGTAGAGCCAAGGATCCGCAAAGTGATGAAAAGAACTAAATGGACAATTCAATGTTAATGAAATCTCAACAAGCAGTGTTCATCCTGATACATGCAAAATGGCACTTTGAGCGCAGTGGGAGACTTGGATATGAATCCTGACTTGACTGGGACTGACATGACATCACACATGTGAGAAGAGGAGGAGATACCAAACTGTTGATTACCGTAATGGTGCCAACCAGAACAAGGACCGACCTCCCTCACTTAGTATAAGATAGCGCAGCGGAATGCTAGGATACCAATGATCATCCAATCAATGTCGTAATGCAGCCCCGACATACATCATCGTCATTGCGAGGTGTGAGGGGCCTGGCGCTACACACAGGAAGAATGCGCCAGGTCCAAACCATACACAGACGAAGAGGAGGGGATCAGACGAAGAAGAGGGGGAAGATGGGAATGTTGCCAACGCCAAGTCTTTGGTATAGGTCCCAAATAATCCCTCGTCAAATGTCTGAATCCCAATGTCGAGTCTGGATCCAAATGTCGTCGAGTCCCAAAGTCACAAATCTCTCTCTCGCATCATCTGTAGATACTGAGAAGTCAGGTAGTGAGAGGGTGAGGAGGAGATGGTGGACTAAGAAGAGGAAGAAGAACTCTCTCTCTCTCTCTCTCTCTCTCTCTCTCTCAGTCCGGTACTAACCTGTGAAGGTGGCGCCTTGTTGCAGGTACATCGAAGACGAAGCTGGAGCTATAGCGCCACAGGTAAGTCTCCCTGGCCTCCGCCGACCATCTCTCTTTCTCCAACACTACTCTAGCTCCTACTAGCGCTCAGCGTTGAAGACTACTGCTAATGCTACTAGCGCCCAGCGCTGAAGACTACTGCTAGTGCTACTACTACTCCTGCAGCGCTCCTCCAGAGTGCTGCTGCCGAATCCTGAAGACTACCGCCTGCCTCCTGAACTGCACGTGAAGTGCCTGGGAAGTTCCTATGAACTACCTCTGAACTACCTGCAGCCTGCAGGGCGGACCAGTCTTATATAGTGCTGGCCCGTCCAGGAGGCTTCTCTTGCCAATGCCAAAACGTGCCAGATCCTGGCGTTGAAGCTCAAACAAAGGTTGTCTTGAGAACAGGCCCAAAATGGCCTGTGCTAAACCCTGGTCTGGTGCCTAAGTTTTAGGGCACGTTGCCCTCCGTTTCAGGCTGAAAAGACTCACGGCCTGTAGGCCTCGTTTTCAGGCTTTCAGGCTGAAACGACACAGGGCCTGTAGGCCCTTGTTTTCAGACTTTCAGGCTGAAACGACACAGGGCCTGTAGGCCCCTGTTTTCAGGCTTTTAGGCTGAAAACGACACGGGCCTGAAAATGGCTCGTGCAGCCTGTTGCAGGTGCAGCATGACGACATTTGGATCCAGACTCGACATTGGGATTCAGACATTTTGACGAGGGATTATTTGGGACTTGTACCGAAGACTTGGTGTTGGCGGCATTCCCATCTCCCCCCTCTTCTTCGTCTGATCTCCTCCTCTTCGTCTGTGTATGGTCTGGACCTGGCGCATTCTTCTGTGTGTAGCGCCAGGCCCCTCACACCTTGCAAACGATGATGATGTACGTTGGGTCTGTATTACGACATTGATTGAGTTGATCATTGACATCCTAGGATTCCGCTGTGCTATCTTGTACTATGTGAGGGAGGTCGGTCCCTCTAGCTCCTAGTAGCGCCCGGTGCTGAAGACTACTGCTAACGCTACTACTACTACTGCAGCACAGCGCTCCTCCAGAGTGCTGCTGCCAAATCCTGACGACTGCCTCCTGCCTCCTGAACTGCACGTGAAGTGCCTGGGAAGTCCCTATGAACTACCTGCAGCCTGCAGGGCGGGCCAGTCTTATATAGTGCTGGCCCGTCCAGGAGGCTGCTCTTGCCAATGCCAAAACGTGCCAGACCCTGGCGTTGAAGTTCAAACAAAGGTTGTCTTGAAAACAGCCCCAAAATGGCCTGTGCTAAAACCCTGGTCTGGTGCCTTAGTTTCAGGGCAGGTCGATCTTATGAGGGCCGGAAATGGCCCTCCATTTCAGGCTGAAAAGGCTCAGGGCCTGGAGGGCCCTTTTTAGGCTGAAACGACACAGGGCCTGTAGGCCCTCGTTTTCAGGCTTTTAGGCTGAAACGACACAGGGCCTGTAGGCCCTCGTTTTCAGGCTTTTAGGCTGAAACGATACAAGGCTTGTAGGCCCTTGTTTTTAGGCTTTTAGGCTGAGAGCGTTGGTCGGGCCCTGCACGCCCATGTGGCTGCGCAGTATGCCACACCCCCCCCTCCTTGAAAGACCGAGCTTACCTGCAAGGGCGAAGCTGCATGTCTGAGGGAGGGACCAAAGTCCGGGTGAGAGGGGCAGGTCGTGAAGCTTCCTTAGCTAACCTTTGTCATTTGTAGTGAGCGTAGATCAGCGGTGCGAATGCGTTCAAATCTACTCCTGAAATCCATCGAGCGTCGTCGGGATCGCATGCTTTGAAGGTAACTTTGTACTGTCGAGGCTTGCTGCCGTACTTGCGATCCGTGATGACGCGGTCGACTTCCTGATGACCATCCATAGATGGAGGGTCTTGCGATCGTCGCCCCGGGAAGTCGTCGCTCTTAGCTGGTGTATATGTCGCCAGCTTTGAGGCATGAAAGACTGGATGGACCATCAGATGCGGGGGGATGTTGATCACAAATGAGGGGCCATCGGGCCATGGTCCAAACCACTTGGGGAGTAGTTTGCGCGAAACTCTTCCGCGGAGACCCAAACCAGATCACCGGCGCGGATGGGACATGGCAAGCGACGCCTGTTGGCTTGCTGCTGCATGCGGACTTGAGCCGTTTGTATGTTCGCGTGGGCTTGAGCCAGCAATTCCCTGTACTTCCGGACGGAAGCGGGGGATCAGCAGCGTCTATGTCGGATGTTTGTAGGAGGAGAAGATCAACGGAAATACGGCTAGTCACCGTCGATTCCACAGGTCTGGAGGCACATGCTTCTGCCACGACACGGTCCCTTGCTTGCACTGACAACGTGCGGAGGACTAACGGGTCTTCAAAGGCTATCATGGACCATGGTGTGGTGCACGGGGCAGAGCAGAGGCTGCAGGATAGCATGGGTGATAGGTCAGCTCAGGCAATGGAGCAAAGCCCACAACACAGGGAGAGGGTGGAGCAGGGGGCAGAGCAGCGTGCAGAGCGTCCGGGGGTCAGACAGATTGTCGTGCAGACGGTGGATCAGAGGGTGGACGAGGTAGTACAGGACTTGACGGGCCAGAGGGTTGAGGAGAGGGTGGATCATAGCGCAGATCGGAGATTGGATGAGAGAGCACACCCGTCGGACATGGAGGGCATTCGTCCCATGGTCGTGCAGACTGCAGAGCAGCGTGTGGGGGTGGGTTTGGCCGCGATGGTGGAGCAGAGGGTGGAACAAAGGGTACATCCATGTGCTGCCTTAGGTGCAGATCCTAGGGTGGAGCAGAGGGTGGAGCAGAGGGTGGAAGTTAGGGTGGATGTTAGTGTGGAGCACCACGTGGACCAGGGGAGATCAGACATCACACGCGAGAGAGTGGGCGAGAGGATTGATGAGAGTGTCATCGGAGATGAGAGCGGTGTGATGGTGGAGGAGAGGATAGAGGATAGGGATAGGGAACCCCCGCAGGAGAGTAGTGCACGAGACATCGCACTCACCGGAGCTTCGTTCTACGGGATTCCCCCGCTACCCCCACGTGTCGCACAGTCCTCGCAGGGGGTGGATCTTGGTTTGCGTGGCATGTCGTCAC